ATCATTTCTTCGTTAAGCCCGCAGGTTGAACGTAAAAAAAAAGAGAACAGTGTATGGATAGCTTCGGAAAGAGATGGGAAGTAACTGCAGCAGGTGAGTCAGTAAAAAAAATGTCGACCCGCAACAAGTCACGCCATACCCATGACACCATCTTTGTTATTGGAAGTGACGGGATGTTTGCTTTCATTGTGTCAGGTGCTCGGATCTGTGGGAGAGTCAGAAAATTCATTTCATCTATTGTGTCAGCGTCTCTGAAACCAGTCCAGTGAGGGGGGAGTGACACAAACACTGTGACAGGGGTGAGGATTGCACAATGTTCTATGAATGAAGGGTGGAAATCACGCGCACTTCCTTATAGAAACCATCCTGGCCTGGACTGGTCACCCGTCAGCTCTGGCAATGACCAGTATGGATCTGTGCCTCAGGACTGCTCACAATCACTCGGGTTTATTTAGAAAGAACTCTTATATGGGCTTCCGCCAATGCAGGGCCCATACATGCTATGCATCGACGTGTGTCTTTTTACGTAACGGTGTGCTGCTGTAGGGAAGCCAAACCATTGAATGGACTGGTGCATCGCCACACACTAAAACACACATGTATTGCAATGCCCTGGCTAGGTGTATCGGGGTGCCGCTGTGAATGTGCCCCAGAGGACGTTGGTATAAAAGCCAATAATGGTCTGTTGGTCTCTACAAGGTCCGGCTATGTTCACACATAGGGCTGACTTGTTTTATAGACACATTTTAGATGAAGCTCCTCTAACTACCATCCAGCAGCAAAGCAGAGGTCACACACCTTGAACAAAGAAGTGGATGAGCGTGTTTCCTTAGTTTCCAACTGCTCTCCTCATGTTTAGAGGACTCCCTCTCCAGGACAGCTGTAAGTTAATGGCCTTGAAGTGAACCTGTTACTACAAAGTGCACATAGAGGCCAGATCTATGTACAGCATTAACATGGACAGATCGCAACTTCAGCAAGTAGGCAGCCAGTGAGGTCTGGAAATACTAAGCTCCCATCTTCTACGTTTGTTTCAGGTCCATCACCCACTGGCTCATGAAGGAGAGATTAGAATGACAGCCCCGAAGATTGTACATGCAATGGCAGCACTAGAGTTGTCTGGCCGGTAAAAACTAATGGGACTTGCTATTGTAACAATGTTATCAGTAAGGACGAGATAAGACCGCAATGTGATCAGTAGGGACGAGATAAGACCGCAATGTGATCAGTAGGGACGAGATAAGACCGGGTATGTTTTTCCAGAAAATGTAGTCAGTGAAGGTCACTCCCTTATATCTGATTCTCTTTCAAGTCCCCTCAAGGCCTCATTTAGATCTAAAGTGGTATTCAGTTGGCGATGGCAATCTCTGTAATTGACAACTCACTAGGATGTCAGTTACAAAATCTGGACCACCCACTTTCCTGACATGACTGAAAGCTCATCGACGTGCTGTGCCAAAAAAAAAAGCCTGCATGCACGTCTACAGCGGTATCCTGCATTCCTAAGGTTAGGGGCAGATCTGAGATCTCTCACGTACATGCATTGGGGTCTTGTCTGAGGTCTCTCAATTCATGCATTGGGTCGGATCTGAGGTCTCGCATGTGCATGCATTGGGGTCTTGTCTGAGGTCTCTCCTGTGCATGCATTGGGTCGGATCTGAGGTCTCTCACGTACATGCATTGGGTCGGATCTGAGGTCTCTCATGTGCATGCATTGGGTAGGATCTGAGGTCTCTCAAGTGCATGCATTGGGTCTGGTCTGAGGTCTCTCAAGTGCATGCATTGCGTCGGATCTGAGGTCTCTCAAGTGCATGCGATGGGTCTGGTCTGAGGTCTATCAAGTGCATGCATTGCGTCGGATCTGAGGTCTCTCAAGTGCATGCGATGGGTCTGGTCTGAGGTCTCTCAAGTGCATGCATTGGGTCTGGTGTCTCTCAAGTGCATGCATTGGGGTCTGACGTGTAAATGGGTGCAACCAACCATAGGAAACCAGCAAGACTTCCATTTCTTAATGTGAAATTGGTTGCTATGGGCAGAACAGCTCCCAGAATCCCCTGCAGTGTACAGCATGGAAAGGGTCAAAAGTCAAACTGCTCAATCTAACCAAACACTGCGGTTATGCATGTAGAGAAAAAGGAAGAAAAACAAAATCTGCCCCATCAGGAATTCAGCAAAACAGAAATTCTCAATGTCACTCGCCGGGCTGCTCAGCCGACATTTACTTCACAAAAAAATGTAACTTAGTTTTCCTTTTACAGAGTTTTTGGGTCATTGAGTTAATTTCACATTTTATATATTCATCAGATGTTCAACGGACCGATCACATCGATGTGTGCGTGTGTGTGTGTGTCCTTTAAGGAGAGAACGATCCTTCGTCACTCTTACCTGTATCAGCCGCGATAATCCCAAATATTCCTGAGAACAAAAAAGAAAACAGACAATTACATTTCAAAATAGTCTCGGAATTGTCTCATTGTGACATCACAACCCGGATCACATTCCTCCTTCTATACATCGAAATACAAATAAGGAAACACAGAGAATTACTCATGTCTCCAATCAGGAAACAAATTACATGGGAGGAGCTTCTCTAGGTTATTCCCCGAGGGTGAAAAATATCACACACATGAATTCCGTGGTTGTACATTCTGCTTTCATGTTTTGAATGCAGCTGTGTGCTCCCAACACACGTACAATGGTATCATATGGAAGAAACGTCTCCTCCGATCCACATCTCATTTACTAAGAAATTCCGATCAGGTTTTAATGGAATCACAGAAATACAATCATCTCACCGCTGTACGTGTGTGTAGTGATACATTGTCTATTCATTGAACGGGATGGAATGGTGAATTGATATCAATGCGGGTACAGTGGTCTGGTGAATGTCATGTACAGCACAGTACACACAGGGCCAGATTTACTCTCTCTGCTGCCCCAAGGCCAGGTTCCTCAATGCGCCCCCTCTACCCGCCAAATCGGTGCTCCCCCCCATGGAGAATGGCAGACCTGCAGGCTGCATACAAAACAAGCGGTGGCTT